CAGTGGGGTCCCTCGGCCTGGCCTGCGGGGATTGGGCTGAATCCATGCACTGGGCCTCCAACATCCCCTGAGGGGTGATCCAATGCCAGAGGGCACAGGCCAGGCCGAGGGACCCCACTGGTGCACGAACCCATGCACCGGGAGATATAAAAAAAGAATAAAATGGCAATAAATATATATCTATCAACAATTGAACCTAAAAACAAAATAAACAAACAAGAAATCTAATGAACAAAATAAATTGAGGAATAAAATAGAATCAGAGGCATGGCAACATAACATACTGATAAAATAGAATCAGAGGCATGGTAACATGGAACATACTGACAAATCTCAGAGGAAAGGGATGAGGTGGGTGTGGGGAGAAAATAACCAAGGATCTTATATGCATATATGCATTACCTATGGACACAGAAAATAGGGTGGCAAAGGCCTAGGGTGGGGCAGGAACCAGGTGGAGGGGGGCAATGGGGGAAGGATGGGGGACACTTGTAATACTCTCCACAAGATCGATTCTTTAAAAATGGTTAAGATGGTAAATTGTATGTTACATGTATCTTATCACAATAAAAAATTGGAGAAAAGAAATGAATGAATGAATGATATGTGCTACAACATGGATGAACCTTGAAAATATTATGTAAATAAAAGAATCCAGCCCAGCTAACATGGCTCAGTGGTTGAACGTTGACCTATGAACCAGGAAGTCACGGTTCAATTCCTGGTCAGAGCACATGCCCAAGTTGCAGCCTCTATCCCCAGTGTGGGGTATGCAGGAGGCAGCCAATCAATGATTCTCTCTCATCATTGATGATTCTATCTCTCTCCTTTTCCCTTCCTCTCTGAAATCAATACAAATATCTATTTTTTAAAAAGAATCCCAGACACAAAAGGTTCCATACTATACGATTTCATTTATATGAAATATCCAAAAGGAGCAAATCCATAGAGAAACAAAGTAGATTAGTAGTTGCCAGGAGCTGGTTGGAGGGGAAAAGAAAGTGATTGCTAATGGGTATGGGGGTGCCTTTTAAAGTGACAAAAATATTGTAAAATTAGATTGTGGTGGTGTGTGCACAATTCTGTGAATACACTAAAAATTATGGTTTGTGGATTATATCTCAATAAATAAATTATGAATGAAGAAATCCCTGCATTTTTTTAAATTTTTTATTATTGTTATTTTTTCTTTATTGATTAAGATATTACATATGTGTCCTAATCCCCCCTTCCCGCCTCCCCACAACACCCCACTCATGCCCTCACCCCCCTGGTGTCTGTGTCCATTGGTTAGGCTTATATGCATGCATACAAGTCCTTTGGTTGATCTCCCCCCTTACCCCCACCCTCCCCTACCTTCCCTCTGAAGTTTGACGGACTGATCAATGCTTCTCTGTCTCTGGATCTGTTTTTGTTTATCAGTTTATGTTGTTCATTATATTCCACAAATGAGTGAGATCATGTGATATTTATCTTTTCTGACTGGCTTATTTCGCCTGCATTCTTTTCTGTAATTGGTTTAAATTTTAAAATGTTTAAAAATAAGTTATTAGCAGTGGCATTTAACTTAGGCAAGAAATTCATTTATTTTACTTTTTTAGGATCTTCTGTAATTATTCTCTTTAGGCAAAAGAAAAACTTTCATTTTCATCAGAAATAAAAAGCATAATACCTTATAGAATAAAATGCTCTACACTATTCCAAATTCCCATCTAAACAATGTTAACTTCACATACTATGGTCTTAAGATATAAATTTCATAAAGAACTCTTTATTGCTAACTAGGGGAATTGCTACCTCTCCTTATGGAATAACCTAGTTAGCATGAACGCTGCAAAAGAAGAACAAAACAGAAATTTTCTCCTCTCTTAATCTGTTTCATGGTATTTGACCACTACATTTTTCCACTACCAGACTGAAATTTATTCCTTAACAAGGTGAGGAACTGAACTTAAACAGGTAACCCCACCATATACGTAGCAATGGAAAGATACTTCAAGTTATCACTAAGGTTAATATTCACCTTCACATTTTCCTATTTGCCGGTTATCATATAATTATGATTTCCAAGCGAGACCCTTTGGGAGCCTTTTGCCTGAGGTCACTAACAAAACATGTGTGACAGGTAGTTGGGCATTGCACAACTCCAGGGGGAGCCCTTAACATCACCTGTGATGCCAATGGCACCCCCTGATGCCTTCCCCAACCAGGGCTCAACTCAGAGTATCCTGAAAGTCCCACAACATGAAAGGATGAAAAAAATAAAATAAGGCAGTACCTTAATCAAAGGAAAGGCTTTGTGCTTACTTTTATAGCAGTTTCCCATAAACACACAAACCAGTCTTTTTAGTTGCCATACCTCATCCTTCAGCTGATTTTTATGAACTTCATGCTGCTGGTATTCTTTTCTACATTTTGAAACTTTACGATCAGCAACAGAAATTTTTTTCTCATACTCTGTGTTATTTCCAATCTCACTTTCCAAAAACTTGATCTTTTCCTTAACCAAATTTTCTTTTTCTCTTGTTTCCTGTTTTATCTTTGCTAATGTCTAGGATTAAAAAAAAAAAAGTAAATATATGTTTAATATGATGATCAAAATAATGATCAAAATTTAGTTTTTATTTTTCTATTATTATATTTAGTATTTATTTTATCAAAACTTAAGAGAATGTTTTTTAAGAGAGACTATATTTATATGAACTAAAACAAAATATTAATATGCTACACACCAAAAATAGTAAGCTTATATTTTTAAAGGTCTCTATATTTTCTTTCATCTACTTGGTACTTTGCTAAAGAGATGAGGAAAATATCAATCTTTTATGAATGAAAAGTGACATTTAAAAAATATAAGCGTTATATATTTTTAACATAGAAAGTTTAATTTCAATGAAATTTTCCAAATATTTCATAGGACCAGTTTGTTTTTCATCTTTTGAGAATAGCATTTTAGTTATTGGCTTCAATAGGAATTCCTTCACTCAGGCTTTTTTATGGTCTTGACTATACAAAATTAACAGAATATGGGAAGTAGTAGCTGAGATGTGGACAGCGCATTATGAGAACAAAGAGAATAAGGTCTACCCAAGAGGAGTCATTAAAAGGCATATCTAACAGGCTTAATTTAAGTCGGCCTAAAAAGACAAATGGAGATACATAAAAACTCAGTGTAGTAAAAGCACGTGTGTGGGGTGGGGTGGGGTGGGGACAGAGATAGAATAGGGATATATTAAGAAGGGGTGGGTACAGATGAAAGGGATGAGGTTGGAAAAGTAGAGGTTGAGGCTGAACTGTGGAGAAATCCTATTTTTCAATTGTTATGTCAAAGAGGATCAACTTTTAAGCAATATGGAACAAAAGTGATTGTAGAGCTGGGGAATAAAAAGACCATATATGTTTTTTACAAGTGATTATTACTGCAATATGTTGGGTGAATTGAAGGGTGAAGAAAAATTTACCCTAAAATACATTTCTTGCAAGTTTTCTAAAATGGGGCCCCACCAAACAACTAATCCCAGGAGATGGGTGTGGGGAAGGCATGTGGTTTGAAATTAGTAAGTTTTAGAAATGCTACATGTAATATTATACATATTAGCATATTAAATGGATATATATATCTGAGATGCACTGCATTTAAAAAAACATTTTTAATTTGCTTAATCTAGTATTCCTCTATGTTCTCTATGATAAGTAACATTCTATAACTGTAGCAGTCTATATATCTACTGTGTTCATTCAACCAAAAGACAGGTCAAAACTTCTTAGGTTTATATATGGCAAATGATCATTCTGGAATTTCCTGCTTTCTACTGATTTTTCTACTACTTAATCAGGTGCTTTAATTCTACTTCACTGTTCACATTTAACAGTGCTATCTATTCACAGGTAAGTTTTCATATAGGTAATGCTTATAAGTAATATCTCAAAATGTTTATACTGAAATAAAAGCATAATGGGAAAATATTTATAAATAATGAAAAGTTTCTTTTAAGAAGACAATTCCAGGATCCTATGATCTGACTCCTGCCAAGAAGACTCTGAGAAGGCAGAAATTGTTTTGGAGGGAAAAAAAACAACACAAAAGGGTCCAATGTCATATTTAACTTTCTAGTGGTGTGAACCGGCTCTCACTGGCTCACCACAGCTGACTTGCACATCTCTTCTCAACGTTGTGTCCAGTGAAGTCCTGTTGGTACGGAAACAGTTTCACCACAGAAATCAGAAATGACACAGATCGGAGCCAGTTGTTAAACACTTAGAAGCATACCTCTACCTGGGAGCCATTTCTTAGCAACCTCCCCAACCTCCTACAATACAGACAGCCAGGAGCTATCAGCCTGTAAGGAACCACTGTGAGTATGACAAGTTGTATATTCTGCCAAATCAGCAGGCTCTCCCTTCAACTGTGGGGTTGTATGAAATTCGATTGTGGATCTGCAGTCTTAGATTGGGCACACTTTATTTATACAGAGGAAGTAGGTCAAGACTTGGTATTTGAAAGCACTGGAAAGTCAATAAAGAGAAAACAACATCAGCATTAACAATGAAAAGGAACTCAGTTAAGACTGGCTCTCCCTTGTCCCTCCTGGGGAGGCCTAGGCCATTTTGTACTCAATCTGTGTGGCATTCCTCCCTTCGGAGCTTCTACCACTTCTACCCCATCACTGGTGCCTCAGCTTCAAAAGTGAAACTTTATTGGAGTCCTGGTTTTTTTCCTGACTCTCCCTTCCTGTCTCTGGGATCCCCATGAAGCTCATTTCCCTGCACCTAACTGTGTGTACAGATAGCACACATGTTAAATCCAAGGCACCACAAACAACCGTGTGTAAGTAGGGCATTGATTTTACTGCAATAACATTATCTAACTTTCTCTTGTTCCACATTTCAGAGATGGCAGGATCTAGTCTTTGTCATTATACTACCACTAGTGACCTGGTGCACGGATCTGTGCATATTGAAAGGAAATTAATTAGAAGGTGGCGGTGGGATGGGACTGGGCAAGACAGGCTGGACACGCCCTGGAGCCAACCTCCCAGTGGTTTCTCCCTGGCATCTGTGGAATGAGTGGTGACCCTCCAGAAGGCAGGGTCCCTTGGCTTGACCTGCAGGGATCAGCTGAAACCAGCTCCCTGACATCCCCCGAGGAGTCCTGGAGTTGCTGTTGTACAGGGTGTGGAACGCAAACACAAGCGTGTAGTAAACCAGACTCAGGGCTAACAGTTCCCCAGCAACAACATAACCCACGGCCTAAGGTGGAATGGCACGGCCCCACAAGGAATTGGCTCCCTCCTCTCTGGTTTTGGGGTGCGTCACCAAAGAACTGCCGCTGCCAAGTCACCGCAGCTTGGCAGCTCCTACTTTGAGTGTCTGCCCCCGGTGGTAAGTGTGCACCATAGTGACTGGTTGGATGGGTGGAGGGACACTTAGCATATTAACCTTTTATATATATAGACAAGTAATATACATAAAATCACATTTCTAAATGAATGGAGTCAGCTTTGAAAAACATTTACCAAAATTAATGAATCTCCTACGAAAGTGACTTTCAAATAACATTGTGTTTTACAGTTGAAATTAATGAGTTAAACACAAAAGAGAATAAATATAGCTGAGCATTGCAAGGACCAAACAACTACTTTACCAAGGCACAGTTATCAATGTCTCGATCTCTCTTCTTCATCTGTTCTATTGTGCTTTCCCACTGTTTAATGAGTTCTTGTCTCTCATTATGAATCCTACGAAAATCTTGCGCTGCTTTATCCAATTCTAACTGTCAAATAGAGAGCAATAACATTTCTTGAATGTAAGCACTTTTGCAAACATCACTTAGACAATTAAGAAATAAAAAATCTTCACTGAACCAACCTGTGCACTTAGAGTCTCTGTAGTTTCATTGTCAAGTACCTTTCTTTTCTGATTACCTTCCAAAGTCAGCCTTTCTAATTGCAGGGTCAGTGCCTATGTAATTACATGCAAAAATAGGTATGATTATCATTGGATTAACTTAAAACTATTAGCGTATCTCATATTAAGTTTTATTATATTACTAGAGGCCCAGTGCATGGATTCATGCATAGGTGGGGTCCCTTGGCCTGGCCTGCAGGGATTGGGCCGAAACTGGCTCTCCAACATCCCCCGAGGAGTCCCGGATTGCGAGGGTGGTTCTTGGGTGACACACCCTTCAATTGGGCTCCCTCCTCTCTGGTTCTGGGCGCATCACCTGAGATCCAAAGCTGCCAAGTCACTGCAGCTTGGCAGCTCCTGCGTTGAGCATCTGCCCACTAGTGGTCAGTGCACATCATAGCTACCGGTCAGACGGTTGGACGATTGCTTAGGCATACACACACACACACACACTCACACAATATATATATATATTTGATATCCAAAACAAATATATATATATATATTTACATATATATACATGTAAATGTATATATTCTTAATCTTTTAACCTCTAGGGCTGTAATGACAACTCAATTGTTTTTTAAAAGACTTTTAATACATTTTAAAGTATGTTAGAAAAAATATGAACAATTTTCCATTTAAAATAATGCATTTGGTATTAAGTCTATTAGAAAATAGCATGTTTCATTATACTAAAGCATTATCATATTTCATTATAAGTAGATTTTAAATAATAATTATAATAATATATTAAATAATCAAAGCACTAATGTCTTAAATCAGCAAAAACTATATGTAATGACAAAACTTTATAGGTATTTGAATATACTCATTTTTCTAGAGAAAGGATACTTGGCATTATTAGATTCTGGAAGGAAACTGACCCCAAAAATGTTTAAGAAGTGCTGCTTTAAAATTCTAAGTCCAATTTAGATAAAAAGGTTGACACACTACAGAATCAGAGAAAGCCTGACATTACAATTTCTAATTTCTCACCCTAATTTTATTATCATCTTGTTGTGCATACTTCTGGAGAGTGAGGGCATCACTATCTTTGTGAGCTGATTCTTCTAACCAGGCCTCCAATGCCTGCTGGTCCCAGTTCATTTGACGTTTCAAATCATCCAATTTTTGAGTAAGTTTAAATATCTGATTCTAACATCCAAAGAGAGAGGACAGGGTGAGATTAAAAAAACATTATTTACAATATAAACTAAAATAAAACATAGCATTACATACTATACAGAACATATAATAAAGAAAAAAAGGAATCCTGTCCCTGACCTCTAGATGAATACTAGTATAATATACCATATTTAATTATGTAACTATAATACTTGTATTTTAATTTTTTAGTTGTAAAACAGAGGAGAAATTATTATGCATAGTTGAGAACAGTAGTTACTTTAAAAGATGTTAGGGGAGTTCCCCAAAGCAATCTCATTAGTCATTCCATCATAGCCACCTCAAGAGAATGTGCAATCTTAGGAAAAACAATGAGCTTGATATGCTAACTCAAGCCCAAGACAAGTCCCCTTCAACCCCATTTCCAGCCAAATTGCTGCCTCTAAGAAGCCTCTTACACAGAAATTATGAAAGCACTTCTAATTGAAATAAATACAGCAGTTAAGAAAATAAAAATGTTTCTGTACATATATTCATTTACCAAATATAGATTCATAAAAGAAAACTGATGAATATACAGACACAAATATAATAAAATATGTATGTGTGTATGTATACGTACACATATATACGTGTGTGCATTTCCATATGCATATACATATGTAAAGAGAAGAGTTGAATTTGGAAAAAGTGCCCACATCAAGTAACTAAAAACTAAGAAAAAGAAAAAAATATGTACAGTAGCTTAATATTGGTCATAAGTTGACAAGTTAATACAAAAGGTAAAATCAATAAAGAATAAAACTCAAAATTAAAAGTGATATTTTAAAATGTGGCTTTTAAAAATGTAGCACTTATGAATAAATTATGCCTAGCATTGTATAACAGGCAATCAACATGGTGGTTTGCATATAGTAAGGTTCAATGAGTATTCGGTAAATGAACATTGGGAAAATAAATGTAACATTCTATCATTGTTTCATTCAAATCACAGCTCCATGTGCCTTCCATTGTCCAAGAAAACAATGTAAGAAAATGTTAGGAAACTAATGAACGCCTTTCCCATACAGAAAAAAAGTCAGTGTTTGTTTGGTGAGGGAAGCAGGAACAATGGCACAAAATTTTAAGTAACATTTCAACACATACTTCCTTATCGCTTTTCTTTTCCCGTATTAAAGTGATGTCATTTTCCAGTCTTCGGATTTCATTTTTCACTCGACTCAGCTCTCTTTCTGCAATGGTCTTAAAATGCTCTTCACTTTCAATCTCATGTTCCCTGGCTTTGCAAAGAGACTATAGAAAAACATACAAGATAGACTTTTTACATTTCAGTATTAAAAATATTTATAATAATCCATTAGACAAAAACATAACAAAGTTCCCACAAAATGCCTATATTAAGTATCATTAATTCCACTTCTCTTAAACCTATACCACATTAGACTTTGTGATTCAGTGTAGACAGTGTTGTTTACTATTTATAAGAGAATTAATTCATAGAATGTGTTAGGAGAAAAATACTGTTGTCAGTCATTTTCAGATACTAGGTTGGGCTAGGGAATTTGCAGAAAACCAAACTTTATATGGTTATACTTTAAAAGATCTAACTAATAATTTAACCTTAGTTTACTGTAAAAAATTTAATTAATTAATTAATTAAAAATTTAATAAAAATATACATCATTACTTAACTAAAAATAAGAAATAAAACTGACTAAAAATACTTGGGAAATGGGATAGTTATATGAATTGATCACATAAATTAGCAGAGATAACTTTTAAATAATTATGTAAACATTGGTTATAAATATTTCCTAGACTATATTAATAAACGAACATGCCTTTGTTATGCTTCACTTAATAAAATAGTACTTGTTGACTACTGATTTTACATTGCTTTAAAGTTATCACCATTGGTATTATTTTTACATTGTTAAAGCTGTTACTGTTGTAGGAAGTTTACTACTTTCGTCTCATCTTAGTTGAGGTTTGACTATAATAAAATATATCCACAAAGAGTCTCTCTCAGATCCCCAACTCAGTGGTTTAATAACTTGAGGAAAAGATGTTGTTCCTAACCATTTATTAATTACTCAATCATATCAGAATTCAAAAATATGAAGTATTGTTTTTAGAAGTTCATTAACTTTTTTTAAATATATATTTTTATGATTTTTTTACAGAGAGGAAGGGAGAGAGATAGAAAGTTAGAAACATCGAGTCAGCTGCTTCTTGCACACTCCCTACTGGGGTTGTGTCAGCAACCAAGGTACATGCCCTTGCCCAGAATCGAACCTGGGACCCTTCAGTCTATAGGCCGACGTTCTATCCACTGAGCCAAACCAGTTAGGGCTTATTAACATTTTAACTTTCTTCTCATAAGACTGTTAAAGCATGAAATAGGAAGATGGCGGCGGATTAAGTGGAAGCTACACTGACACCCTCCCAGGACCAAACTGGAATTACAACTAAAATATAGAAAAATCATCCTGAATAATCAACTGAAGACAAGCTGGAGAGAATGGGGATAACAATGACTTGAAAGTGGAGACAGCATAGAGACTGGTAGAAAGTGCGGTGTCAGGAGAAGGCTGCCAGACTCCCCCAGACAACAGCTGAAGTCCCAGAGGATATCTCAGCTGTGGGGGGTTCCTATTGAGAACTCTGTGGTCTAAATCCCAAGTTGGGTTCCTCAGCCCAGAGCACCAGAACTGAAAAAGCTGCCCACATAACATCTGGCTGTGAAAAGCAGCGGGGTTTCTGTCTACCAGGGTGAGAAGGTTGGAAATGCAGGCACCCGCTTAAAAGGCCGATGGACAAAATTTTGTGTGTAGTCACTGGTCTTGGGCTCCAGCAGAGGGAGGGCAGAGGGGACTGGAGCTGTGTGAGCAAACTCCAGGGCAGGGGGCTCTGGGGATAGAGCTCAGAGACCAGTCGCCTGGATTCCTGGGTCGTTCCCCCAGACTGTAGAGGACATCTTTCTCAAGTTTGCAAAAAGCATGAAATAGTTACTTATCTATATTAATTACAAACTGGCATTTAAAACACGACTTTGTTCATTTTTAAGAATTACATTATTTCAAAGAAATGCAGATGTACTTTTAAAAACAGAGTTTGACATGGAAGTTAGTCAACACTCCAGTGCTGATTTGCTGAGCTAATTTTCTGGGCTTCATCAGGGAATGAGGTTCTACACATGAGTAGACTGTCCATAAAACAGATGCTTTGATTAGTCACCCTAAGCTTCAATTTGTATTATTTTATTACGTTTTCTAAAATGCAGTATACTGTCCCCAGTTATCCTAAATATAATTTAACGATTATCTCAGGATGTCATTATAAATTTCAGTTCTTAAACTCGGCTAAAAGACTATGCCTAAGGGCTACTGAAGTGTTAGAACTATTTGCTTCCACTCAAAATGGTCCCAGTGGGTAGTGCTGAATAATTAAAAGTAGACAGAAACTCTCTTATGTATTATATTAAGTCTATTTCTGCTTAAAGTCATTATTTCTCACTGCATCACTGTACTTTCTCATGCAATCTGCTGCCTAATATTATATTAGACTGAATCATGATTTATTCTTTCAAATGAATTAATTATTCCTTGAACTTGGTGGCAGTAGTGAGTTCCTCAAAGACTTTTTTCTGCCTACTTTCAAATTCAAGGCTATGTTCACTATAGATTAGTTATGCTAAATTTTCCTATTATGTCTATAAAATAACATCACAGATATAAATGCAATGGGAAATGTTCCATAACTACACATGATATAATCAACATGAATTTCAACATTATATATACCTGTGTATATAAGAACTCTTGTCTAACATTTTTTAAATGAGAAGCTATAGCATTAATTCGTTCTTCGTAGACACGTAGTTGATTTTGCAAGTATGACTTCTCATCCTGCAGCTTTGACAACTGTAAATAATAAACACGATGATTAGTCAAAGTCTACTAAGTTCTTACCATATTTAAGGATGTAAAATAAAGATTATTTACTTTTAGTTTTTAAAATATCAATTTGAACTTCAAAAATCTACTGCCCTTTCAATTATAAAATAGTGCTGTGTTTTAAAGATTATTGTGGGAAAATTAGCACCACATTAAAACAAAATAGAAATCTCTCTCAGATTTGCAACATTAGCAGGGTCCACAGCTACAGTGCGTTTTAAGTGGAAAAAAAATGAGATCCTATTCCATAATTAAAAGACAAGGTCCCAAATCAAATCATTTGTTATGTCCTAAGTAATAGTAAGTATGTATTTTTGGCTTTTTATTTCATTAACTAGAGGCCCAGTGCAAAGATTTGTGCACATTGAAAGGGAATTAATTAGAAGGTGGCTGGTGGGGCAGAACTGGGCGAGACAGGCCACACACGCCCTGGAGCCAACCTCCTGCGGTCCCTCCTTGGTTGGCCGCACCTGGGGCAGGGCCGGGCTCGAAGGGCATCTGCGGAGTGAGCAGGGTTCCTCTGGCAGGTGGGGTCCCTCAGCCTGGCCTGGGTGGATTGGGCCGAAACCAGCAGTCTGACATCCCCCAAGGGGTCCCAGAGTGCGAGAGGGCACTCTGCAAAGTGGCTGTCGTTTGGCAGCTCCTGAGTTGAGCATCTGCCCCGGTGGCCAGTGGGCACCATAGCTACTGGCCAGAGTTTCTGCCCACTGGTCGTCATTGCACGTCATAGCTACTGGTCAGGCTATTGAACAGTCGCTTAGCCTTTTATATATATATAGATTTCAATTTTTAATTCCCTCTTTTGTTTACTTTCTTGTTCTTTTCTTTTTACTTTATTAAAAGTTCTTAGTTTTGTGGGGGGGTTTTGTCTTACTGATTTTTATGGGCTGAATGTTTGTGTCACCCCCACATTCATGTGTTGAAGCCCCTAATCCTCAATGTGATGGTATCTGGAAGAGGGCCTTTGGGAGGTAAGTAGGTTTAAAGGAGGACATGATGGTGGGACACTCATGATGAGATTAGGGTCCTTATAATAGAGAAACCAGAGGGTCTCTCTGCTGTGTGAGAACACAGGAAGAAGGCAACCATCTAAAGCAGGCAGAGTGCTCTCACCAGAACCCAACCATGTGGACATCCTGATCTCGACTTCTAACCTTCAGAACTGAAAAATAAATGTCTGATTTTGTTTGTTTTTTTAATCATTCAGTCTATGGTATTTTGTTATAGCAACTCAGGCTGCCTAAGACACTGATTTAGAAGGCATTTAGGCTATACATTTTCTCTAAATAAGAGTTTTGCTGCTTCCCATGGATGTAGGTACCAAGCAGTTTCCTTTACAGTTTTCTAATTGGTGACTTTTCCCTTTCAACTTTTATTTGATTTAAGAGCCACCCAGCAATATATTTCTGAGAAACTTGCCTAAGTATTTAAAATGAATTTCTTAGTCAGCTCAGACGACCAAAATAAAATACCATAGGCTCGTGGCTTAAACTAAAGAAATTTCTTTCTCACAGTTCTGGAAGCTGGGAAGTCCAAGGTCAAGGTGAAATATCTTTTCCTAACTTGTAGCTGTCCACATTCTCCTGTGTCCTCACACTCAGCAGAGGGAGAGGGAGAGAGAAAGAGAGGGAGAGAGAGACTGAGAGAAATGGCTCTAGTCTCTCCCCTCATGGGCCCCACCCTCATGACATCATCTAAACCTAATTACCTCCTGAAAGCCCCACCTGCAAATACTATCACATTGAGGTTTAGGGCTTCAACATATGAATGGCTGTGGGGAAGGGGGGACACAAACATTCATTCTCTGACAATAGAAAATCATTTTTTAAATTAACACAAATTCTATTGGCTTATAATCAGAGAATGTGACCTATAAAATTTCTATCACTAATTTTTAAATTGTGGTAAACTGTACATAACACAAATTTTATCATTTTAACCATTTTTCAAAGTACATTAAGGAGTGGCAAATTTTTTTAATCTAGAATTTTCTACTCAGCCAAATCACCATCAAATATAAAAGCAAAGAAAAATATTTTTGACTTAGAATGTTTACCTCCCATACACCCTTCTTAGGAGAAATACAAGAAAGTATTTCATTAAAGAGAGAGAGAGAAAAATCCAAGAAAAAAGAAGATAGAGTGACAAAGCAGTAACGGGGGGAAAGGGAATTAAAAAGTTAACAATTGGGAAATAGGCCAGCAGAAAAATTGTCCATATTGAAAAGTATAGGACTCCCAAAGAAGGAGTGGGAGAAGAGAGAAATTATCTTGAAGATCTGATATAAACTTAAAGCAGGCAATGCAAGGAATCAAACTGGCAACTGAGGATGCAAGGAATTAAAAGCACAATACAGCCATGGCTAGTGAGGCTCAGTCTGTTGGAGTGTCGTCTCATGCACCAAAAGGTTGTGGTTTCAATTACGTAGGTTGCAGGTTCGATTGCCAGTCAGAGGGAGCACGGTGTTTCTCTCTCACATTGATATTCCTCTCTCTCTCTCTCTCTCTCTCTCTCTCTCACCCCCTCCCTCCCTTCCTCCTTTGCCCTATTTCTAAAATCAATAAGCATGTCCTTGTGTGAGGATTTAAAAAGTAATTAATTAATTAATAATAATAAAAATCCTATATAATAAAAACCTAACATGTTAAGTGTCTGACCATTTGTTCAACCATTTGACCAGTTGCTATGATGCGCACTGACCACCAGGGGGGCAGATGCTCCGACTGGTAGGTTAGCTTGCTGCTGAGGTCCAGCCGATCAGGACTGGGGAAGATGGGCCAGACACACCCTGGAGCTCTCCTGGGGTCCCTCCCTGGCCTGATCGTGCACCAGTGGGGTCCCTTGGCCTGGCTTGTGCCCTCTCACAATCCGGGACCCCTCTGGGGAATGTCTAGAGAGCCAGTTCGGCTTGATCCCCGCAGGCCAGGCCAAGGGACCCCACTGGTGCACAAAGCTGTGCACTGGGCCTCTAGTATGTACATAATATCCTGTGAGACAAATATTATGTCACTAATACCAAAAACTAACATTTGAATGGAACTTTAACCTCCATTAATGTCTTTAGAGCTGTGCAACTGATGGGGAAAATAAGACATTTGGGGGGGGCTAGCAATCTGAATCTGTGCCAGTAACCTAATATACATTCTTGATAACCTATATAAAAGTCACTGCATCTTTCTGCACAATCTGGTCTTGCAAGACCAGTTTACCTAAGTACAACTCCCATTTTACAGAGGCCATAAACCATGAACAACCTCCGGAGGGGGTTATCAGTGCTGGCACCAGGCCAGGCCTTTAGGTGTGGTTTCACGGCCCCCATCCCAACACATGGGGCTTTTTGCAAAGCCCGCGAAACGTCCGGAAGTCCTATCCCATATTTGGGGGACAAAGAAACCAAAGGGTATAAAGGGAAAGCTTCCTCCATATTGGTTTGCTCAGGATTTGGAGAGAAACAGTCTCCCCTGAGTGGCTGTACCAGTTCACGTGAAACATCTGAAAATAAATGGGTCTTTCCTGTGTCTCCAAGTACTCCTGTGTGTTCTTCAGTCACCTGGTAAATTCTGTAACCTAACAACCCTATGTGGTAATTATTTTACTTGTCTTTGGCTTACAGGAGAAGAAACTGGCTCAGGGCTGGTAAGTTTGATCTACACCTAGGGCTGGATACTTCTTCATATTGTGCCTGCATACCTAGTGCTAGATCTCTCGCATTCACTAATGTTGCCCTTCATTGAAAAGAAAAACAAAAACTGCAGCCATCTAAATGTAGGCGTGAGTAAATATGTCAGATTTTGAACGACAACAAGAAAAGTGAAGGATTTTCATTTTCATTTTTTCAGAGGAGGGAAAACCTTCTCTTCCATGCTCTAAGTAGTGTAAACATCATCAGTTCTTGGATCCTCTTCCACACAACACATAGGACTTTTCACTGGCTGCTGAAGGTTTTTTTGTTTCCTGAGCGAGGTGCAACTTTATTTTGAACAACTACTATGCATTGGTTGCAAGTTGATGTAAAATACTCCTTACAACTTACAGTATCTTACATCATTCTGTGACAACTAAAGTCTCAACTTGAAAAGCTGCACATTTTGCATTCTTACTAGAACGCCCCTCTTAACTTTTATTCGAGTCAACCATCATCGGCAGAACTCACGGAGAAATGTCAACCAGGGCGTGTTTCGTTAACGGTTGCTATGCAAACCATAGAAGTCCCTTTGCAAAACACGCTTAATTCCGAGGAAGGAGAAAGTGTTGGCGGGAACCAGCCTTTCCTCTCCTGCCAAAGAGTCTGGAAATGAGCGCTTGGCCGGGGAGGGGAGGAAGGAGTGAAGAATCGGACTTTGTAGTTCTGCACATCAATTATTGTTTCAATATATTTTTTTACTGCTTAGCACAGTGGTTCTCAACCGTCCTAATGCCGCGACCCTTTAATACAGTTCCTCATGTTGTGGTGACCCCCAACCATAAAATTATTTTCGTTGCTACTTCATAACTGTAATTTTGCTACTGTTATGAATCATAATGTAAATATCTGATATGCAGGATGTATTTCCATTGTTACAAATTGAACATAATTAAAGCATAGTGATTAACCACAAAAACAATATGTAATTATATACGTGTTTTCCCATGGTCTTAGGCGACCCCTGTGAAAGGGTCGTTCGACCCCCAAAGGGGTCGCGACCCACAGGTTGAGAATCGCTTGGCCTTAGCAAGTACTGAAAAGGGCGGAAGGTGTGGGAGAAAGGAGAGATGAAGTGGAGCGTTAGACCAAGAAAAGATGGAATTCAGGAAGGAAAGGAGAGAAACAAAAGGATTGGGATATTCCTGCCTACCAGAAAACTCATCACACACCCCGCCTCCCCCACCAATAAAAAGATACCCCCTCCTTCCGCAGCCTTCTTCACCTGATGCTCACCTGATCTTCCAGTATCTTGTTCTCCTGGTTCGCCACAGGGATGGCGAAGCCATCGTCCCAGTGCAGCCCTGACAGAAAGTCGCTACTCATGATGGCAAAGGGAACCCTGTGGAGAAAAGGCCCAGGACCAGCACCCGAGGTTCCCACGAAGCTTCGGTGTAATTGCCTCCGGAGCGCTAGCAACCGTCCCGCGCCCTTAGTTACCAAACAGGAAGCGCTCGGCCAGGAGGCGGAACTTCCGGTTGCGCAACTCTTTCCTTCTTAAACGCCCAGGGAAACGAGGAATCTTACACCTGCCAGGGTTCGCTGGGGTTGCCAGGCGCCGGCGTAACTTCCCCTCCAAGTGCGGCCCGGGCGGCCCCACCCCCGGACGGCCCCCCGGCGCCCCCGGAGACTAAATCGGTGGCGCCTGCAGTGACCGGAGGAACCCGGGTGCGAGAGGGGCGCTGAGCTACGCGACCGCCTGAGCGCCCGCGGAAGAGGAGAGCGAATGAAAATAAAAACCCGGGCTCCCTTCGCGTGCGGTGGTGGTGACTTTCATCCGTAGATGGAATCTTGTAGGCTGATGTGCCTTTGTAGTTTGAAGCAGAATTCTGTCCCTAAAACCACTGCGGGATGTGGCGATCCTCGTCTGGTTTAATGGAATGGTCTTCCTCCCCTTCGCACCTGCCCCACGGTAGCGTCCTGAGCACCAAAGTAGATGCACAGATTTTGGTGGTCCCTCCCGCGCCTCTCTACACCTTTGTTTTTCTTTGCATCTCCATTTGCCAGCATTTACAAATCTTTCATTTCACATAAAAATCTGTATTTCTTCCTACCCTCGAAAAAGGCTAGGGAACTCTGAGCCCACATGATGGGCTGAAGAGGCGCCCCTTTAAATTGCAAGCACAATTGGAATGACCTGTTTGGCACTGATAGGCATTTGAGTAACATCTCCGAACTAGAAAAGACAAAACAATCAACTAATCGAATTCTTTCATTTTCCAAATACATAAACTAGGGCTTCCTGAGGGGGGCCATTAAAGTAGGCAGGGCCTAAATTAGGATACAGGACTCCTTACCCAAACAAAGCTCTCTGCAGTGAAGGGTGTTCTTGACTGGAATACTCTCTACTACCGCATCGTGAGCATCAGTTACTTTTCTTATTCAATAAACAATCCAGGGTTGTTGTTGTTTTTGCCCTTTTGAATTTTACTTTACCTGTACTTTGTTAAACATTTTATAAAAAGTTTATGTGAGAATACAGAGCAGGGTATAATGAACTCCCATATACTCATCTTGATTTCATATTTTGCCATATTAGCTTCATCTTTATCTTTTGCTGAAGCGTTTAAAGTAAATCACAAATAACATGACTTTTCACTCTAAAAACTTGAGCAAGCATCACTAATGTTTTCTAACATAATATCACTTCTAACAGAATTAACTATCGACATCAAAATTCTTAAATATCATCTAATAACCATTTCATATTTATATTTCCTCAACTGTCCTGAGAATGTCTTTTTACTGTTTGTTACTGTACTTTTGAAATCCTCTTGTAGTAGCTTTATCTCTGTACTTACATGGTTTTCCATATATTTAATCTTACGGACTTATAAATGTCTTCAAAGACTAGAATTAGCAAGGTATTTTATTCCCCACTTCTGCAATACTTAAATTCCCAAGGTGATAGGGAGAAAGACTCAGCTTGCAGAGAGAATTTGACCTGTATAGAATAGTGGGATTTTAGAGCTTTAATAACCTTATAGAAGATCATCATTTATAATAGTTTAGTCATTCCTACTAATGAAAATGTTAGTATCCAGTATCTATTAAGATGACATATAGTTATTTATATTTGAGATTTTTTATGGCAATGCCTTTATTTAAAGTTATTATTGTCTTAAATATTCTCGTTGTAATTTCTCATCTCAGTTCCTAATGTGAGTACAGAGGCAGCTGCTTGGCCTGTGCCAATCTGTTGATCCACCCCTCTCAGTGTCAGCTGCAGCTGCCAAATGTATGACAGCAGCTGTCTTTGCTGGGTACTCCCCTGGCCCCAAGGACATAAGAAGTTTGGCAACCAAATCCCTGCAAAGAGCCCCACTTCCCATATCTCAAGGATTCTATTCCCTGAGTTTCAGGATGACAATTATACAACGTTGAATTTTAGAAAAAATTTCCATACATTCTCCAAATTCTACATTTCTTCCTAAAAAACAATATTCCTGCTTCTCCCCTTTATCACCACAGCATCCTATATCATCCAGTTCCCACTTATAATTCTACAACTTCTAGATTATAATTCTTTTTGAATTCATTAATATCTAGATTTGGAAATAAAACCCAAAGTTTTTTAACCTTGTCATTGACCATGAAATATTCAATTTAACCCCCAAATGCTCAGATGTTAGCCTTCTACTATCTCTTTCTCAAGTAGATAATTTTATACAAATCGGGTTGTTTAGGTTAAAACATAAAGAGATATTTTGTTCTGCAAAAATAATGTGATTTTTTTAAATCAAAAAATATATATATGTATAAAGAAAAAGGAAAAAGTAGCCTTCACATCCATGCCAATCTCATTCCCAAGAAGTCGCCCTGTTTTGTGTTTATCCTACCAGAATTTTTTAAAATGAAGCTATAACTACATACATATATTAATTTTTCCTGTAGAAATAGAATAATACTATATTCTTTTGCAAATTCATTTTTTTTCACTTAACAATACCAGTGGCCATGTTTATATCTTTGGTCTTTGAATGGCAGTTTAAAATCCAATATTATTAAATGTAACTTTTTAAACAATGCTGCAAAGAACATCTTTATAATACTGTACTGTCTTTCACCATCTCTAGGGTATACTTATCTTCACATTTTAATATCTCTGAAATTGGGATTCATCTTTCAATCAGTGGTGTCTTAAATCTGGTGAATAAGATATAATCTTGAACACCTCTGTATAGGTTTCTGCTGAACATATTCTTAGAAGTAATATTAATGGAAAATAGTTCTAAAAGCAATCTTCCAAAATGTCTTTACATACCAATGGACTATGACAGTCTCTTTGCATATTCTGGAGATTGTGAAATATTATATATTTTACAACCAAAGAGAAAAATATGGTATCTCCTTGTTTATTGACAGTTTTATAATTATGAGTGAGACTTTGCTTTACATTTATTCTGATAAGAATTCCTTTATCTTATCCTGTGTCCATTTTCTCCCATTAGGTTGCCTCTTCTTACTGAATGATTACAGTGCTTTATATTTTATAGATAGTATTCCTTTTGGGTCTAAATAATATTTTTCTCCCAATCATTTTTTTGGGGGGGGAGGGGGCTTCTTTAACTTAGTTTTTAATACATTCTGCCATACACACCTGGGAAACTGCTCTTGTTATCAGTGTACTTCATATTTCAATGGATACATTCATTACCACCTCACCCAGTCTATAAGTTATATTCAGTTCAGCTATTTCTTTCTTATTAAAACATTTTCTTCTTTTGGCTTTTATGACTTTCTCTGTCAGTCTCCCATTAACCTTCTCAATCTCCTTTGTTGCTTTATCTTGTCCTGTTTGGCCTCATGATATTACTATTTCTCAAGACCCAAAGCTGGTCCCTCTACTCTTCTCTTTTACACTTGCTACCTAAGTTATCATATCCATTTACATGGCTTTAAATACCATAGCTGGTATTTTTTAAATGACTCCCATTAATATTTCTCTAGCCCAGATGTCTCTTCTGCACACCAGTCTTATATCCAACTGTCTACCTGACAATTTCATTGAGATATCTTCTAGATATCTCAAATCTGATACATAGGTCCAAGATAGAATTCTTGATTTTTCTCCTGCACATATTCCAAACCTTTTTCTCCATCTTCTTTACCAAGTAGAATCACTATCCAGTAGTGCAAAATCAAATCCTGGCTATCATCACTGATTCTTTCCTCTTCTTCACCTCCCACCTTCAACACAGCACTATTACATTTCACTTCTACCCATCCACCCAATCTATGCTGCATTGTATTTTGTTGTCATATCTCCAAATTTTTCCCTGGTCTGTGACAGAGTCTTTTCTTTTTTAAAAAAAAATTTTTATTTATTTCAGAGAGGAAAGGAGAGAGAAAGATAGAAACACCAGTGATGAGAGAGGATCATTGTTTGGTCCCCTTCTGCATGCCCCCTACTGGGATTGAGCCTGCAACCTGAATTTGTCCTTGAGCCTGCATTTGTCCTTGACCAGAATTGAACCCAGCGCCTTTAGTCTGCAGGCCAACACTCTATCCACTGAACCAAACCAGCTAGGGCTTTTCTTTTCTTTTCTTTTCTTTTTTTTTTTAAATTATTCGGACAGTATTGAGAAGCACTGCTCAGGTATTATGTAGACTGTCACTTGATTTTGTTTATCTGATAATTTTCTCATGATTAGGCTGGAGTTAAGGGTTTGGGGAAGAAAACTGTAGAAGAAGTAAAGTGCACTTCTCCTCACATCATAGTGGGGGCACGTGATGTTATCATGACATTCTTAGTGACTTTAACTTTGATCGTTTTGTTAAGGGAGCCAGGTCTCTCCATTGTAAAGTTGGTATTTTCCCTCGCATGCTCTAAATAATTCACTAAGTTCAACCTGACCTTAAGGAAGGAGATTACGCTCTACCTCCTAAGGGGAGAGTATCTTTATATATTATTCAAAATTTTTCAGTAAGTAAAAGTATCTCTTTTCCCGGTTATTTATTCTATTTATTTTATCACAATGAACTCATATATTTTCACTCTTTGGATTATAATCTAAACTACACTATCCATTTTGTTGCTCCATTTGTTCCAGCTTTGTCCATTGGCCCCTATGTCTTTCTGAACTGCCTTCATCCTTTTGTTTTTTGAGCACCTCCTTACTTTCTGGCACTGCAAAATGCTCCAAGCTCATCTTGTATTTCCTCCTACTCAGCCTTAGAATTAGCCAGTTCTTCAAGGAGTTCTGGTTCCTTTTACTGGAAAATGGTATTTAGAAATGAAGAGCTAGGCTCTGGGTATGTTGGTTGTTACTGGGTTATTATTGCTTCTGGGCCCTCTCGGCAGACAGAACTACATAATATATGTATGCATATTAACCCCCAAATTCACACACATCTATGATTGTCTTTGTATCTACCTATCTTTGTGAGCTAAACGTTAATACATACTGATATCTCTGACTCCAATCCTGTACCACAGATTTTGTTCTAGTTTTCCTTTCTTACATATTTGAAACTTCCCTCTGACATAGAGAAACCTTGCTCCCACCATCCATTATTCATTGACTTACATGTTCAAGCCCAATATACATTTAAAGTCATTTCAGAATTATTAATTTGTACGCTCAGAGCAAGTCTTTTCAAAGGACATCCTATATAATAAAAGGGTAATATGCAAATAGACTGAACGGCAGAACAACCAAACAACCAATCAAAGCGTGATATGCTAATGATATGCTAAGGTTGCTCACCTGCTCCCTAAGATGTGCACTGACCACC